AAATGTAGGAGAGCTATTATCCTATAAGCAGACCAGAATACACAGTCCTTAGACAATTAGACATGCCACCACAACTACTCATTTGAAGGTCAATGTCTCTCTCTCTCTCTCTCTGTCTGCTTACATTGTCTGACAAATAAACAATCTCTCTTTGTTGTTATTTAGAACAAAATTAAAGAACTAATCAAATGAAGTAGGAAATGATCGCGATGGATTTGACACACCTTAATTGAAAGTCCGTCTGATTGTGAAAAGAAGCTGACCTATGAGTTGAACTTACTCTACTTGGAAAATTCTTTGAAAAGAAACAAGTTCTGACCAAAGATTTTTTTTGCAAATGAACACAATTTTACATTGATAACTGCCCTGTTTAGGTGAACGAGGACATTGCATGTGTTCGAAGAGATTAGTCACGTGTCCAAAATGATCAAGATACCGTGTGGTTAAGAACAAAGAAGAAAACATTAAGATTGATCCGATTTTACAGAAGTATAAATAGCCGAGCTAAAGGTTGAGAAAATTTTAACATGACACGACCTAATATATATATATACACAATACAATGCATTGACAACCCTAGTATCGTCCCTTTAATATGAGGGTGTGGAAGGGATCAATGGGATACAACCTTAATTTTTTATATTATTGAATAAATTGTTTTCTGGTTGTGTGTTAACGCATATTAATTAAGAGGTCACAATAAGACACACATCATTGTGATAATAGAACTAGTTGGGGTAGCAATGCAAAAAACTCAATACTTGAGAGGATAAAGTAAACTTATGGTCATAGTTGAAGGGGTTAAAATATAATTTGCACTATATAATTCATCAACTTGAGGAAAAGTTCGCAACTGCCACAACTATTTATTTGAAGGTCAATGGTTCTTTGCTTGTTTGCCTGCCTAACTAACAAATAATCTCTCTCTCTCTCTCTCTCTCTCTCTCGTCATTTTGAACATGAAGTATGATTCAACGTAGTAGAAAATGAGTTACACCAGCCAACTTAGAGTTCAAAGGAATAGTCGACACAAGTATGAATACCTTATAACAAAAAAAAACATAATAAGAAATGATATTGATGGATTTGAGATGCCTTAACAGTCCATTGGATTGTGAAAATAAACTGACCTAAGAGTTCAAATTTTCTACCAGATAGAAAGTGTTTTGAAAAGAAATAAGTTCTGCCCAAGATTTTGGACAAATGAATAAGATCTCATCTTCGTAATTGTTCGGTGTATGTTGAACGTAGTTACTGGTTGTGTTTTGAAAGACTAATCGTTAAATAGACCGAATAATTTTTAGCTAACAG